CAGGTGCGTGGGGCCGCGGGGGCCGGCGTTGCGGCCGCGTTAGGGGGGGGGTTAGGCCGGGAGCCGCAGCGTGGGAGGGAAGAGCCCGGGCCGGGCGGGGGGAGGGGAGCGGGAGGCGTCTTTGTTGTTGGCGACCGGGATCCCTCTCGGCGCCGGGGAAAGGCGGGGAAGCCACTCCTGATCGGATCTGGGGTTTTGTGGAGATTCTCTGCAGGGGAGAGGCAGGAAAGTCCTTGCTGTGGGTGAGGTTGCGGGAGTCTGGGGGCGGGAGACGGACTCGGGGAGCTCTTCGGTCCTCCTTGCAGAGAAGGGTCTCATTTCACTTCCTTTGCTGTTTTCTTTGTGGACCGAAGGATGGGGCCAGGTTTACATTCCTCTCCCTGGCTCGCTGTGAGATTCGCGATGCCTGAGAGCTTTCTCCTGAGTGTCCTCGTGTGTGCCAGCCTCGATTTTAGATCCAGTCTGCCGCGAGCCTGGTGATTTGTGTGTTCTGGTCCGGCCGTCATAGACTCTTTTTCTTTATACGGTTGAAATTTACCCTTACCTGTTTTCGAACCTTAGGGTAGATCAGGAATTGTTTTCCAATTGAAAAATCAGAGGGTTTTGTTTGGATTTTTTTTTAACCCTGAAACGGAAAGTTCTGTTAAGTTAGATTGTACTGTTATGGAGGATTTTTGTAGAGTTTAACCTTGGCTTCTTTTTTTAAAATGTTGAAAGCTTTGATCCATGGTGGGATTTCTGACAGTGCCAGGTCACAACTTTTCTTAAGCGGTGCCTTAAGTCAGTGTGAGGTGGATTTGTTAAGCAAAAGGATGAATAACGGAATACATGGAGGGTGACCTTTAAATTTGGGCTATTAGGTTATGAAAAGATATTCATGTTTAATACTTTTTTGTAATATATAATACTTGACCTGCAAGATAATTCACTTTTATGGCTCCAGTTAATAAAAAGAATTTTGGAGATCTTGTGTCAGCATTTAAAACTGCCTAATGAGTCTGAGTAAAAAGACAGGTACGTGTATACATGTTGTGATAGTATTTGTTTACATTAACAAGATTTACAGTAAAATGAACTTTTCTCTATACTGTTTGTCTTTTAATATGTTTATAGCATATAATCATATTATATGCTTAATATGCCAATATTTTGATAGTGATCATAATTGTCAGTGTTCTAATTTGGAAGTCCAATTTTTTACTTGTTGGTAAATTGTTATTTTGGGAGTTGGGATGGTGGCTTACTTAAAGAGCTGTGGAGATAGTCATGTTTCAACTTACAAAAGAAATAAGGTCCCTGTTGTGTAATAGTTGCTATAATACTTGAGATCCAGGAGGAAATGAATAGCACCCTCACCCATATTTTGACCTCTCTTTTCTCCTACTCTGGTATTAATAAGGTTAATTGGCAAGGATAGGATTAGATTTTTAGCAGGCTAGGCAGTTTTAATTTTGTCCCTCGCTGTGCAGTACTGTAATTGATTAGTGGCTTGCTTCTTGAGTATCTTTGCCCATTTTGAAATGTGTATGAAATGACATCTGACAAAGAATTTTCTATTTCCTGTGGCAAACAGAATTACCATAAAGCATCATAGCAAAATGATAGTTTGTAGTTAAATGAACACAGAACTAGGCAATTAGTGTCTGTTCCAAGTTTTGTCACTGAATTGGTCTACAACTCCAGGCAAGCTATACCACATCTGAGTCAGTTTCTCTATCTGTAACAAAGGGCTAATAAAAATGTGCCACCTGCTCACTTACACAGAAAGGGCAGTGAGAACCAGCAGTTGCTCTGGTTATGTGACATTGATTGCTTTAATTAAATAAGTACTTTTAAATGCAGTTCTCTTATTTTGTTTTGGTGTTATGAATTTCAGTTCCTTGGTGAAGAATTAGCATTAAGAAACATAATAGGGAGAATGTCTATCCATATGCCATCATTTAGGAATTGATAAACTCAAAATTCCTTCCACGTTAAGAAGAAAATATAACTTGGTGTTGTATCTTGAGAAGCAGTGATGCTAAGAAAATAATGTGACAAATTGACTTGGTTTATTTACTGATAGATTTTATTTCTTATATCTCCAAGATTGTGCTATTCTCAAAAATTACTGCTACCTCTCCTACGCTGTTAAAAAATTTATCACATATAAATATGCCTCTCAAACCCAGCCTTGTGAGTTGGCTAGGAAAAGTGATGTTTTATGACTTCATTACAGATGAAATAAAGAAAGCCTAGAGAAGTTAATTATTTGAACTACCTGAAGCTACACAATTTGTAAGAAGCAGAATTGAGACTTGATTCTGGGTCTTCTGACTTCTAGTCCTGAATCTTTTGCTTTGGAGCAGTGTTCTCCAAACACCTATCTAGGCCCAACAGTTTTGACCAGTTCTGGTGAAATGAGAAATAATACGTATTGGTAACACACAATATAATGAGTATCCATGCACCCATTACCCAGCTGAAAAAATAGAACTACAAAACAAAGTTTGCTCTGTAGTTAGTACCCCTCTTAAATCCTGCTCCCTCTTTTCCCCACCCACAAACTGAAATTGACAGGCATCCTTCCTATCCATGTTGTGATAGTATTTGTTCTTTTATATTCATGAACATTTATATAGTTTTTCTTTGATTGTTTTAAGACTTTAAATGTAAATTTTGTATCTGTAGCTTGCTTTCTTCATTCAACATGCCAAAATTCATCTATGTTTTTTCAGGTAATGCTAGTTTATTTTTACTGTCATATTGTATGTGTTCCATTCTGGGACTATATCAAGTTTCTGTTGATCATTTTGTTTACAATTGTTTACTTATTAAACAGTGCATAGGGAATATTCTTGTTTATGTTTACTTAGGTATATATGCAAGACTTCCTTTAGGGTAGCAGTTCTTGACTCTGTATTCCATTTTTACAGAAATATTTTACAACTTCCTCAATACTGTCCTAGAATGAAATTCATAATAATAAACTTACATTCATATTTTAAATAAAGTAATACCCTTACTAAAGTAAAGAAGTAACTTATAACTAAATAGTATATTTCACTGTAAATGCTTAGGCTCAACCACACTGTGTGATCTTGCCTACCAAGTGTGGTAGTAGACCAGTGACATCAGAATTCTGAGAGCTTGTTGGAAATCAGAACCTCTAGCCCTCCCTACCCTAGTGACTCAGATGCTGAATATTAACAAAATTCCTGGGTGATTTGAGTGCACATTACAGTCTAAGAAGCACTGCTAGAAGAAACAGTAGTCAGATACTTCACAGTAATAGTATCACCATGAATAGGACGCCTAATAATGCAGATTAAGCAGGTGTCTTGAATTGGCATTCAAATATCAATAGAAGCACTGATGTTGATAAAGGAGTTTCTGAAATAACTAATAACTTCCATAAAGTTTGAACAAAAATAAAAGTGGAATCTGCTCTCTTTACAGAGGGGTTGCATTCTTTAAAATCTTTTATCTATGTTAAAACAAGACAAATATACTTTAGGTTCTGTTTATTAATATCTGACTTTATTCTTCCCCTGTTCTAAAGTCATGGGACATGGGGCAGCATTATCTTTATGCATCAAGAGTGCCTCCTGTCCCTGACATCTATTCAGTAGTTCCCCTCATTCATTACAACAACTAAAAAGACGTCACTGAGAAAGACTGCCCTGGGATATAAATCTAGTAGTAGATTGCTAGAACAGAAGGTGGCTGTTGCTTCTTCAATTTCGTTAGATAGCTACCAGTTTTCTCTCCAGGGTGTTTGTTGTCAGTAATGCGTGAGAGGGTCTATTTTCCCACTTTCCAAATACTTTCGACTTAAGTTTTGCCATTCTGAGGAGTAAGAAACAGTACCTCGTTGTAGTTTTTATTTGTATCTCCCCAGTTAGTGTGTAAGTTGAGAACTCTCTGATTTATTTTCTAGTCATTCATGGTTTTTCCCTATGAATTACTTATTCTGGTTTTCTGCGGAATTGTTTGTCTTACTGATTTGTAAATGCTTTTTATGTATTCTGGATAACAACACTTAGTAGGCTTTGCAAATATCATCTAGTCTTTAGCATGCCTTTTCACTTTTAATTTGGTGTCTTTTGATGACTAGATGTTCTTAATTTTAATGTCAAATTTATTCTTACTTGATTGTGCTTTTTTTTCTTTAGAGGAAGTCTTCTCTATCCTGAAATTATAAAGATTCTGTTATAATTTCTTTTAAAAGTTTTACTTTTTTGCATTTACATATTAAGTACACATGAGCTATTTTTATATAGTGGAGTGTTTAGGAATCTAGATTTACTAAGTGAAAATGACTACCTTTTATACTGAAATTGCTATTTTTTATGTTAATGTGTTCTTAGGAAATTATAGTGATATAGTAGATTATAACTGTGTTCCTGGCTCTCCCATTTAAGTTGTGTG